TAAAAGCTTGAAAAGAGCATTTCCACCAATATCCCTTTTCCCTAAGGCAGCTTTCTCCTTCTTCTGTAACTTCACCAACCATATCTCCTTTCTAGATGCTGAACCATGACAGTTTTACACCTCAAAGATTTAGAAATACAAATAATATACCCAATAAAATACGTTAATTATGATGAATGATAACGGGAAAGAAAATCTGGCGTAGTTGTCTATGTGGTAAGGATTTTTAACATGGAAACAATCAAAGATACAGAAAAGACTTTTCATTATGGACATTGGCGAGCTACACCCACTGTGCTTATTTCTCTCCTTTTTGCCATTGATGCTGGTTTTGTTGCCCTTGTCTGAATCAATTTTGTTCGTGTTGTCAGAAGCACTGCAACTGTTAGCAACTGCTGCCAGAACTCCATTCCTTTCTTCTTCAGTCCCTTCATCTTCATCCTGACAGGAAACAAAACAGCACAGCAGGAACATAAGTTCATGTTTCATTGCCCTATTTACTTTAGAGCTGAAGCAAATAATAGGATTTTTCCTACAGCTCTTCCTTTGGCTTACTCATTGATTCCAAGGATCAGAAACCACAGGTACAGACAGTATCTTTCAGCTTTCAAAGCCTCCAAATACAGGAGAAACACATCAACTTACATAACAGCCCACCACAGAAACTTTCACAGGACCACAGTGCAAAGCTGGCTGCGTTCAAATATGGCCCACTAAGCTTTACTTAACACAGCAGCAAATCCATGATAACAAGTCATCTTCTGCAACACAATTTCTACAAAGCAAGTAAAGCAGAGCCCCAGTTGGGGGAACGGAGAAGGTGGCTGAGATGGCAGATATTGGTCAAGCTGGCTGCACCCCAAACCAAGCACTTTGTAATACAAAATGCCTTCTAAGCTGAGTGCTCCATTCCTTGTGCTTCATAATAAAAACTGAATTAGTTAAACTAACAAAACAAAATGCAAGAAATAAAAACAAAAAGATCATAAAGATGGAAAAGCCCCACAACTATTTCAGTACCAAACAGTTCATACTTTGTTTCGAGTCCTGAAACTTACATTTTAAGTTCAAAGTTATACTAAGGTTAAGCGCATTTTCATGTGCTTCACTGCATCAAGACAGCTCTTTGGAGAATGTTGTATAAGCTGTCTGGTGTTCTGGTGGGTTTTGTTTCTTTGATTAAAAATGGCTCGGAGCCATGGAGTTCATGTATGAAATCTTCACCCTTTGAAGTCAGTGTGTTTTCTGCCATTGACTCAGAGGACATGGGATTAGACATCAGCTGCAGCTTCAGCTGTAAACAAACTTCCATGAAAGTTCTGGAGTCTTACTCTGGTTTGAGATATTGCAGATACCAGCAGATCTAAGCCCCAGAGTTTGGCTCCAGATGTGTATCTAGACTACTCCTAACTCTGAACAATTTAAAAGGGGAACTGTCTTTATTTAAGCAGTCCTACACAACTTTATATTTCTTCTGATGCTTTTATCACCTTCCAGACCAAGGAGTAGCACAGAAGCAAGAGAAGGCCAAAAATTTATTTGTGAAATGTAGAACGCAGAATCACTTTCTTCTGAGCAATCCACTTTTCCTATTTGCATAAGAAGAACTACATTAGATAAGGACAAACTCTACAGAAGTTCACAGGTACAGTCACACAAAAAGCTCATTTAGAAAAAATACAGCTTTTAAAGACACAGAGAGCTCATTAAGCCACCTGACAGACCTCTCCATGCCAGTGCAGAATTGTTCTTCTGTGCAGGGTACTTGCAAGTGGCATGGTTTTTGGGTCTTTTTCCATCTAAAAATTAGTAATGTCCTTGAAAATTGAAGTGGAGTCTGGACAGCGTCTGGTGAATCAGTGAAACAGAACAGACGGAGCTAGAAAATGGGATTATTACTGCTATTCATTTCCCATTTGCCAAAAAAGCCTAGTATACTTTATTAGGGAGATATAAATGTAGCTCATCACAATGCGTCATCCTAAAAATACTCTGACTACAAAAACTTGTTCACCCCACAACTAGCCTGCTGCAGCTATTTGGAAACCAAAGGGCAGAATGAAAAGCAGCTTATAAAGCACAAAGAGCATCAATCCACAAACTTCCAGCCTGAGGCCTAAACAAACCAAACAACACCTCAAGTCTGGAGTTTTTTGTGTGACCTGGCTGTTAGAAATACCCTGTTCTGCTTCAGAGAGCCCTACCAGCCCAGCAGAGCAGTGGGGAGCACTGCTGGGCACCTCAAACCATGCGCAGCTGCTGATCTGGGGTACCCAGTGCTCCAGCAGTGAGCAAAATACAGAAATCTTCCAGAAAGATCCTGATTTTTTTTTTCCCCCAGTGCTCTCACATTTTAGAAAGTGAAAAAGAGAAAAAACATCTAGACTTCAAAAATGACAGGATGTAGGGCATTCTTCAGTCTGAGTTTCCTCGTCTCCCAGGTAGGGCTGGCTAAAAGTCGGTGCAGAATTAGTTGTACTGCAGAGCATGAAAGGACACTGCGTACGTGCCATTTTTCTTTTCACACAACTGCATGTGAACAATTCACAGGAGACTGGTGCTTTATTAGGTTGTTCTGAACTCTCTTCTACTCTCCAGGATACATTTATAAAAGTGGTGCATATGTACTCAACTCCCCTCACAGTGTGCCAAGGCAGGGCTCTCTCAGATGTATTTACAGCAAAAGTTCTGTATCACATTGCTTAAAAAGAGTACAGCTAATCGAAAGGACAGTCACAACCACTAGCTTATAAGAACTACAGTCTTATAACCTGGACTATCAAGGGACTTTTCCAGGTTGCTATGGAGAACTGAATGCAAAGATAGATTAAGATGTTCCACATTAAAAACAGTGGCTCTAATTTTTAATATTACTTCCGCTACTTCCCTGCATTCCAGCTGTCAATAAGAAAATGGCAGCTGGCACTAGGAAGGGCTCTGTTGGGATACAAAATCGAGAGCATCTTGCAAAAGTACAGTACATCATCTGCCACCATCTGGGGTGTGCTGAACTTTCTGCTGACATCTAACAGCCAGCAAAATTGAGGAAAGTTGTTACTGCTACTATAGGTGCAGTAATATAGGTGCTCAAGATTAATAATATCTCAACAAAGAGTGTCACACACCTGCAGCTTCTTCTGTGTCTGTACAGATCACAAGATGCTGGCACAGAAATGCCATAAATTCACAACACTGCCCATGTAATCTTCAGTTTTCAACCCTTTTCCCTTTCTGCCCCAGAGGAAAACACAATGGTGAAAGATGGATGAAGTCCAAGGAGGATTGCTCTGTTTTACAGGAGGGCACACCTTTGCATGAAAAAGGAGAAACTGATGATTTTGAAGAGGCAGCCTCTCCATTCAGGCAGTCTGCCACACAGTTGATGTGAATGGCACAGTCTGACCATCCTCACAGCAGGTGGATCCTGTGCTTTTGCCATTAGCTTTCAAGCTGTTTCTGCACGGAGCAGTCCACACAACATGAACGTTGCAACAGCTCAGATATGATGAGCTGTTTCTCCAGCTTTTACTTCAAACTACAGATTCTTACAGCCTCAAAAGAACTTCATATGCCAGTGCCCCAGTGCTTTAAAGAACAAAGAAGAAAGTAGCACAACTCATTCTCATGCAAGGCAGACGGTTATACTTTCAATTCACCTCTAAAACATATTTATATAATTCTGAGTGCAAATGCGGTATTGGCTTGTATGAGAACAGCAAACTGGGAAGTGAGATTTCTAATTACCCTATGTCCACAGGAGCATGTGATAATGAGGAAAACACATCTGTGGTGACGATAATCACAAAGAGATTCATTAAGTACCTGCTAGACAGTGACATGACATTTTAGCTAGTATTTCCATCCTTGTGATATTTTGTTTATATGGTGAGAAATGAGAAATACAAGCCAGGTGTGCTCTCAGTGGCACCCTGCTCAGTAAGCAGCGCTCATCTCCTTGGCTACAGTATAAAAAAAAGGCACAACAGGCATTTTCCTTACTCTAAGGCTTTGAGTTGATCCAGAATTCATCAGCTATTTCTTCCCTATGTGGCTTGTGTTTCTGTGGGCAAGAAGTGAGTGGCATTTGCTCACTCCTGATGAAGAGAAAGTAGGAAACATGCCTGAAGTGACACAGCATCCCCTTCGGTCATTAAGTCCATCTCAGAATTGTACCTTAAGTCTTTTTTCCTTGCTTGCTTGCTTGAGGGCTGTACCTCCACCTAATTAAATGCACATTTCAAATCTGTGATTTCTCATGCCTGCTCCACCTGTAAGCACTGGCACCTCTGTCCCATAAGAGATGCTGACTCAGGTAGGTGAAGGCAAGGGCAGTCATTAATGCCCTTCACAGATCCAAAGATGCTTAATCATCCGAGCAGCACTGAAACACTTGGCTTTCTTACTCAAACCTCCAATAAGCTTTCTTTTTTCTTCCACTCAATGAGCAAATGACAGCCACTTACTTCTCTAGATGGATATGCTCAGAGGGAATTGTTACTGATGCTACCCTGCCAAGAAAAAATGACTTTTAGGCTTTCCACTGAAAACCTCAATCATAACCAGCATTTGCTCATTTGCAGACATTCCCCAGTTAGATCATGCCTTTTAAAACCCAATGGTAGCCTTTGTGCCCCTTTTTCAAACCTTCTTCACTCGCCTACATCTCTTGGCACTATTTTTTTTAAAAACAGTTCTGTGCATTTACACAACTCATCTGACATTCATACAGTCAAAATCCTACGTTAGTACATTTTAGTTTACCTTCACTGTTTTTAAGATGCAGTACTAGAAGTCATTATCCTCTTTCTTGAACCTGCTGAGGAACTTGGTTAAGCCATTTGCAATGCTCTAGAGTGGCATAAATTGTTAAGCCTTCTTTTTTTTTCCAGCCATTTAACCTTTCAGCAGCCAACCAAACCTCTTCCTGCATTTTTCGTCATATTCTCATTTTCTGCACTTTATCAAGAAATGTATCACCTTTTTCTGTTTAAAATTTTATTTTCTTTCATGCATATTAAACTCTGTTCCATAATGAAAAGCTTTAAGACAATCAGTTTCTAACTTTCTAGTTATTTTTTTGCCAAACACTGAAGATGGAGGATATGACAAAACTTTTTCATGAACCTGTCCTGATTATTTCAGCAAGATGACAACCACCAGTCTCATAAACGCCTATGTTGATTTGATCCTTCATTATTTTAAGTATACTTCACAACATTTCAGAGTTCTGGGAAGCTCACTAGAGCAATAAAAAGCTCTGCTATAATAATGACGCAGAACAGAAAGTGAATCACAGTCTGCAGCTGCTGAGACAGAAGATGTAGGTGGAAGGCTACAGGGAACTGAGGCATGAAGCTTTCTGCTAGTAAGCTGACTCACATTCCATACATGTGCAGAAGGTTTCATAAATGGTATGTGATTAATGCAAGTGTTCTTTGTGGGTTTTTTTCCTGTACTGCAATAAGATCAAGCCACCTTGCTCGGTCCAATTTTTGAACAGTGAGTAGGTGTATGCCAGAGAAAAGGTGAATGCCTGTACATGTATCACACTAGTGTTTCACTTCATTTGATTTCTCTTTCAAAATGATCCAGGAATTCAAAACCTTTTTCTTATTTCTTGAGGTTATTTACTTATTACTGTCATTACATTAAAATATAAAATTCCTTACATACATTTACTATTAGTGCTAAATAAGATAATTGATTCTTTTCAGCAGTTAGAATTGAAGTCTGCTTTGTAGGCCAACAATAAGAGAGTTAAAATACCTTTGGAATTTCCTTTGAACTGGGTCGATGCAGGGTGCAGAAATGAGCCACGGCATACTCTAACAATGCTCCAAAGATGAAACTGAAACAGATGCCAAGGTACACATCAATTGCCTTAATAAAGCAGTTAGCATTTGGGAGTGAAGTCCTGGCTCCCATCATCAGTGTTGTCATAGTGAGGACTGTGGTAACACCTGTGGGACACAGAAATACAAATTCTGATAAAACAAAGATAACAATGAGGCCTTCCATTGCATTTGGTGAGCTACAAGATACTCTTTCCTGAGCTTCGTAAACTCCTAAACTCCTAATATGCCACAGCATTTCACGTGACATGTTTTGGAAAGACATTAAAAATACTGAAGAAAAGTATTTGGAAAGCTGAGAAGATGGGAAATTAGAATGAGGGGGTTTTTCATGTCATAGAAAGTATATTTATTATTAACACATGTTGCAATACTACGCAAATGCTTCCATTAAAACCTTCAGATATCATTTAGTTCAGTCTAGCTGTCTGTCAGCCTCGTTTAAAGTGAGATTTGTCTTTGCTATTCTACAGAAGTGTTTTCCCTACCCCACCTGCAGTCTGATCAGAACTGATCTGCATTTTTCCCTTTCAGAATCTCCTTTACTTGCAATTAACTATACTTAATCTCATAATTCTCTTACTATTCATGTGTTAATTAGTATGTATCATTCACCTTCACGAAAAAAAAAACCAACCAACTCATAATTCTGTCTGTGGATGACATGCATTTGAATATTTTGAAACTATTTCCAAAATGATGGAGTTTTCCTCTGCTTCCAGTAGCCTTTCCTGCCTCTGGGTCTCCTGTAGCTCCCAAGGACATTTGCTTTGCTACAGAATACTAGAGAATAACAACACTTCCAGGGGAATCTCTACGACGTGCTGCAGATAGCAATTTGGAAAAATAGCTTTATGAAACTCAGAAGTGCCTGCACCTTTTGGAAATCCATGGCAAGTACTTCCAATAAAGAAATCATAATCTTCTGACTTCTGTTTCCTAGAACCATAAAGGTTGGAAAAGACCTCTAAGACCTTGTGGTCCAACCAACAACCCATCTCCACCGTGGTCACCAAAGCACATCCCCCAGTACCACATCTACCCATCAGTACCCACAGTATCAGTACCACATCTTGAACGCCTCCAGGGATAGTGACTCCACCACCTCCTTGGGCAGCTTGTTCCTGTGCTTCACCACGCTTTCTGAGAAGAAATTTTTCCTAATACCAAACCTGAACATCCCCTGACACAACCTAAAGCCATTATCTCTCATGCTCTCAACAAGAGGCTTAGTTTTGTTTCATCAGCTTCTTACCTATGCAGATTCTGGCTGGAACAGATGACTGGCTTATCCAAAATGACACCCAGGAGAGCACAACCAGGAGAATTGATGGTACATATGTCTCTAGTATGAAATACAAGATGTTTCTCTTGAGCTCAAAGTGAAACACTAACTTGGGGTAGCGTCCTGTGAAAAGAGCATGAAAAAATGTTGTGAAGGAGCAACTAACAGAAAGACTTTCAATCAACCAACCTGAGTTCTATACGCATCAGGACATGCAGCATCCACCAAATAATCTGTTACATGGATTAAAATAATGTTAAAAAAAAAAAAAAAAAAGTATTTCTGATTTCCAATCTTAACTTGACTACTTGACTTCAGCTTTCTGCCGCGTTGCCTATGCAATTTCACTACTGATTAAATAGTCCTTTGGTAGGCAGTTCATACTCCTTCTGAAGGTACAAATATACTGTATTTAGGGTTCTTCTTTGTAAGTTTAGCATGTTGAGTTCAACAAGCTTCTGGCTGATGGAAAAAAGGATATACAAATGGACAGCAGACTTTTATCTCTGTCCATGAGGCAGGAGGCGCAAAGATTATTTATACCATTATCATCATATTAAAGTGAAAAAGGGGATGTTAAGTTAGTGTACCTCTATCAGTACTGTGATTTTTACCAAGTCATCCACTTAATGTACCAAAATTGATTCGAAGCGCAGAGTAGATCAAAGAAAAACACTCAAAAGTTAGGAAGTTTAAAACTTAGAGGAAAACTCTGAAGCAGGCAATACTGAGTGGTCATACAGTAATATCCTCCTCATTATCTCCCAACAACTCTATTTATCTGACTATAAAACTGTGTGCGTGGGAAGTTAGTTTAAAATATCAAACTTTAAAGTCAGCCTTTGCCATTTTGCCATAATTTCAGAGTGTGGACAAGCCTTTAGAATGTTCATGTGTTCTTTGGTGTTATTTTTCATGATGCCATAAATTTCTGAAGCAATGTGAACAAAGAGAAATAGAGATGTGAAAGCTTACAGCTGAGTGGCTTTTCCGGGAACAAAGAAAAGGCAATTCTTTAACCTTAAGGCTTTCTGCTTGCCAGAATGCAAAGGGGGATGATAATAATGGTGTCAGCATTTCTATAGAGAGCTCAGAAGAGCCTTTATAATGGAAAATTTGAAGCAACCTATATATAGGATTCAATAAGCCCCTTCTGAAATAAACTGAAGGAAGAAGGAGGCAAGAAAAAGTATGTAATGCATATTATCATGCTAAAATATGACAAAATAATGATTCCTTCAGTCTCCACATGTACCAAAAGTTACCATGTTTAAAAGTAAACAGATTCACTGCTGCTATTATGTGTGTTACATATGAGATAATAATGATGAATAACAACCTTATCCCATCCACTTTGACTTGTATACCTAAGGCTGTGGTGCCATAATCAGATAAAAAATGAAACAGGTGCACTGCAGTACTAATCCTGCCTTTACTGTAGTTAGCTCAAGTACAGGCCAGGTTAACTCCTGAAAAGTGTCAAGCCTGCCCCCCCGCTTGACTCTGACTGAGAACAAAATGCTTGCATTGAAATGAGAAGACACTTTTTTATTCAAGTTTCTGGCCCATGACAGATGTCACCTTAACATGTGATGGCTCCAATTCAGATTTGATAATCTGGAAATAATCTCTGTGCAGACAGCTAATTCTGCAGCAGAGGCAGAGCTTTAGCACTTACTAAGGTCTCACATTACTGCATACAGTAGATTGTCAAATACGTGTTGAACTTGAATGGCTGTCTGTTCACCTACTCTTAACCCACAGAAAGGTGAGATGATTTAACTTATGTTACCTCAAAGCAAAAGAACATAAAGCTGAGTTACTCTGGCTTTACAGAATTCACTGGAGAACAGAAGTAAAAAACTAGACAGTAGCTCTGAGATGAAATACAAATCTAGATAGCAGACTGCCGTCTCTCCATATATTCCAGCTCTCTCTACTGCTTTAAAGAACAGCACCCAAGAAAATGGAAGGATTCTCCATATTCAGGGAATTTCAGGTGGTTCCACCTGACTTCTTCAGTTTTTGAGTCATAAAAATTATACCAGCATGACATTTCTCCCCCATTAGTTGAATACGTATAGCTCTAAAGCAGATCTTTCTGAATACAAGAGAAGACAGTTTATTTTTCTTCCAATTTGCCTTTGAAATTTAGCTTAAATAAACGGGCATCCTTATCATTCCATTTTGTAATTAAGCAAAAATCTAACAGCAGAATGCTGCATCCCTGCTCCTTCTGCCAGCAGAAACTCACAGCAGAGGAGGACTCAAGATCCATAATGTCCTCATTTCCTGACTTGAAGTGTTATGGGATGGGAGCATCTTCCCACATTTGCTTCCTATGGACTTTTTGATGAATTCTACACCCGCAAAAGAAAGCTCCACATCACCTTTTATGTAAGAAGCACTTTGGTATCCTGCACAGGGTGTGCAGTCAGGCACAAAGACCACATTCTTTCCTATCATTAAATATGTATGCTCACCCCTCGGGTGCCAGCTAAAATGCGTGATGTACATCTCCCACAGGCTCATCGATACAACCTCACCGACATATCGTTTTCTTCTCTGCTTGCATCTTTTAAGGGAACAGTACAGGACATAACTTTACTGTCTTAACTATTTGCCAAAATAGTAATTTTCAGTATGCAATTTTTTTTGCTTGATTACAACAAATACAATACAAAATAGCAGTGTCTCCAATTTCACCCAACTAATAATTGGTGCTACTGTAATACAACTTCTCTGAGAATTGGAAATTAAGATGCTAAGGTCACTCCAAAAGTAATGCTTCCTATTTATTTCCACGTAAACTACAGCAGATTTTAAGATCACAACAACATTATTTGATAGAGCAAATTCTCAGCAACAAAACACTATTTTTCAACATAGCCTTCTGCTCCTCACAGTCAGGATCTTGCAAACTAACTCTTTTCCTACTTGTCCTTTGGTGGTCAACTAAAGGAAATGAAAGATCAGGACAGGCTTCTCAACATGTGTTTCATCTTCACAAACATGCCTTACAGAAATAGAGTTTGAAAATTCAAATTTCCTAAGAAAGAAACAAACACTTTCATATAGTATTTGTGTGCAGATATGTCTGCCTCTTTAGCTTACCTATAAAAAACCCCTACAAAAACAATTACACCACAGGAAGTTTTCCCTGTGTTTGTATTTCTGTTTGCAGCACAAACAACTTTTGCAGAAGTTAGCAAAAAATCCCCTCTTCCTAGCATCCTTGTTCATTCAATTCATTGCCTTTCCATATGTTTTTATGTTGCTGTAATATTTTCAATGCATTTTCCATAGCTGTTTTCTTTCTAAACTGTTTTGCAGCTTCAGTACATGCTGTGAAGCACCACAGAACTATCAGAAAAAGAGCAAATGATAGAAAGTTTTGTATTCTTCAAGTGGAAAAGCTCCACTTAAAAAGAATGATTATCTGAGCAATGAGCTCAGCTAGGCAAGTTGCACATATTTGACAACAGACACATGAATATGCAACTGCTTGAATCTTAGGTGACCAGATAGTCCTCAGATAAGATTGTACTAGCTGCTGTTCTGAGATTGTTTTTAAGGCCTGCATGGCAAAGATGACAATATCAGAAGTAACAATTGGAGAGCAATTGCAGATTATAAAAGAACAGACAAAGGGAATGACAGAAATTACTCAGTGTACTGCATCATGAAAAAGGAGAATAGAAAATCCTAGAGAAGTTTGATTGCTAATTAATAAGAAACTGCAGAGCAGTGAGAAAGATTGAGCAAGTTAATGCCTCTGTTTTGAGGGAAAGACTGTGAAAAATGCTGCAGACAGACTGCAGACAAGCAGCAGCAGCTAGCTCCCTTTGCAGGCTTTTTCAGAAAGGCAAATGCCTTATTATCTGTGTGAATCAAGGACAGGAGGCTGACTTTATGCTTCTGTCCATCCCTTTGTTCTGCCAAAGTAGTACCACTTGGATGCACGGCCTTGCTGACTTCACAGTTCCTAAGTGGAGAGGTCTGCCTGAAAAAACTCTCCCTGGCTTCTGGACAGGGGTTGAGGACTCTGTGTTAGGCTGAGTACACTGAGCTTATCACTTTTGCTGCTTCTGAGGGCTTGGCAGTGAGAGCAAGGCTAAGGGAAGTTGTCAGTCAGCACAGAGGGAGAGTTAGCAGCAGCCAACTATCCTGAGGAATCAAACCCCTTTTTGCTTCTTTCATTGATTAAAAGTGTTAAGAGAGATGGATTAGCTATGGCTTGCTGTGAAAATATAATCCATACGGGTCTGTCCTGCACCCAGAATTGCTCACTGGCAAACAGGACAGCACACCGTGGCATACCTAGAAATACCAAGCAGAGAAGACAGTCAGCACATTGGAGAACAGGACCTGTGTACATAATTATAACAACAAATATCAGAAACAGCCTCAGCAAAAGAAGATGCAGTTCAACAGAAGTACAAAGTCCTGCCCTCAGACAGGAATTACTAACTGAAAAGCTGAAAAACGAGGTCAGCAGTGCACAGGAATTTTCTGCAAGAAAAGCAAAAGTCTACCTGAAGTAGATAAAGAAAAACAGAGTTCATGAAATGCACAAAGTAATCCCCTAGTTTTACAGAGGACTTGAGGGCACTGAATTTTGAGTGCTGCACATCAGCAAAGATAGGAGAAAGTCTATGGAAGAACAATAGGAGACAGGAGATCTAGAAAAACTTTTTATGCGAATTAAAGAAGAGAAAAATATTAATCTGAGAAATGGGGAAAGGTTGCTGAAAAATAGCAGGAAATTTGTCTTCCTTATCCACAGTAGACAATGCAGTGCATAATGGGTCTGACACGTAGCAAGGGAGATCAAGATTAGACACAAGGAAAATATGTTTGCAGTAATCACCAGAAAAAAAAATCATCTAGAGAGGCTGAGGAGTAGATATGTTGGAGGTTTGTCTAATTTACTGCTAAGAACATCTGTCAGGAAGTACATTGTTGATATAGATGAGCTTGTCTTGGGACATGAGAACAGATTAAGTGAATTGTTAAAGTCTATTCCAACCTTATTTCTATCATTATTTACACAAAAAGCTAGACTGTAACAGTCTTTAATTGCTTTCATGTTTTTCCAGTAATAAATGCAAGCTTTTTACATCACTATTTGTTACTCTGAGGATGCAGGTGGTGTTGGCTAGACAACTAAAATAAAAAGCCAGCCACCACTGATGCACTTACTTGTTTTTGGGGTCCAAGAGCATATGTATCAGAGTTTGCAGAATACGGATTACAGTTAAAGACATGCAGGAAGTAGTTCTAGCAATGAATTTACTTATGTCCAAAATTAAATTATTTTGTACCAAGACAAAAACAGCACAAAACCCCAGCCAGCCCTCTAGTTAATATTATACAAAGCAACTTCCTATTATGTGATTATTATAACATGATTACTATTATGTGATACACAGTGTTCTATAAACAAGATTAACGCATGTAGTCCTTTTCTTAAGTATACTGAAGTTGCTTATGCAGGGATTTTGCTGACCATATTCTAATCTTGGCTTTGTCCACAGCTGTACGTGAACTTGGGCTCTCCATCACTGTACACTATTTCACTTACAAGAACAGCTGTACTGTCTGTTCAGGTTCACAGAGTATCAAATTTTGACTGCTTTTTTTGCTATGTTAGGAAATACAACAACACTGCTCCTCTCTAATATCTTTTGCATCAGCCTTGTGAATCACAACCATTATTTATAAAATACTTTCTTAATGTGATTAATGATGTCTGAAAATGCAAAGCATAAAGTTTCCCTTCCAAATTGATTACACAGTTTCTTAACTCGTGGGGGCTTTTCTTTTAATATGGGTTAAAGTGGGCACTGCTTTCCTAAGAAACACGCAGAAAATAGCTCCTTCATCACAGACACAGTAGAAAATGAAGAGGATTATGGGATTTCATTTAAAAATACTGTAGAGCACTTGAGAACATGGCTTTCTTAAACAGGAGAACTGAAACAAGTAGAGGTGGGAAATCTTAATCAAATTAAGCTGCAAGCATTACAACATATTAAATTGGAGTGACTTTATGCATATTACAACTGCCAACGTGAGGGGAAGACGACAGCATCGTTTACTGAAGAGCATGTCTTATCAGACCATGCCCCTAGTTACTGGAGATCATTCTTATTCTACCTAGTAAAAAATAAATTATGCCAGAGTCTAAAATCTGTCATAAATAAATAAACAGATAGGCAGGTTGATAAATAAAAGAAGTTGGTAAGAATTAAGCATGTTTCCTCTCCCTTTTTCCTGTGTAGTGACCTGCAGTACAGGTCCTAATACCCTTCTGGGCAGAAGAGCAGTAGAGAATCGTTCTCCTCTGATGGAATCTGATGCTGTTCAGCCTGAAGCTGCAGAGAGGAGGAAGGCAAGCAGATGTCAGTTATGTAAGTAGCAAGATACTTTGTGATCCTGGAGCCTGCTATTATGTATTTCATTTCTACTTTCATATTCACTTAGAGAACTTGGGCTTTCAGTTCAACTAATGCCTGAAATGAGATCCTGAAGTTTCTCCGTGCTACGTTGTTAAAATAGAAAAATCCAACCATGGAATACTGAAACAATATCTCCGTAATTCAGAATTAGTAACAGACTCTGGTGAAACTGCAGGTTTGAAGGATGCATGTGTCCTCACATGGAGATCAGCAGTTGGCTTGTCAGCGTGGGCAGGAGAAACCGAATTACGCAATGAAGAACAGCAATGAGGAACCTTAGAGCAACTCAAGGAGCAGAAAGTAGTTTTTGCACACCTGGCAACCTCAGAAATCTTTCTAAAGGAGGGAAAAGAGACCAAGTCCTGCAGGTCCATGGAAACGTTTCTGACCTTTCTTGGGCACACCAACTACAGAACGAGTGATCTGCACTCTGCTGCCCACATGCTGGACAGAAGCCACCAAAGATAAGAAGAAATTCCTACATGCACTAGCAATGAAGCCCAACTTCTTTCAGCTGTTAGAGCACCCAACATATTCACAGAAATTTCCATGGCTGAAAAGAGGCTTTTGTTTTTTCTAACAAAACCAGAGTGGCTATTTCCAGAAAGGCTGGAAACTGTCCTCAACTGAGCACCCAGAGTCAAAGGTCTCAAATTTAAATGCCCAACCTACAGGCTCTTATTCCCTCCTAAGAACTCTCCCCAGCATCAAGCAGAATGAGTAATCTATGTGTTGCTCATTATTCTATAGGTAATGCATGATCTCCATAAGAATATTCTCCAAGAAAATGCTCTCAAGGTCTCAGCCTTTACAGTAGCAGGTCTCTGCTGGCAACATCTGACAGAACTGTGTGCAGTTTCAACAACGTAATCCAACAGAAAACAAAAAAACATAATTCAAAAAGTAAGCATCAAGTAAGCTCCTCCAAGTTGTATTGCTTCCAGAGCCATATTCTAAACCACATGTAGAAGGTGTTATAAGGGTGTTTTTACCTGTTTCATATACTGCTTCAGATACTGAGGTAAAGTGGTCTTCCACTGTATACTGTGCCAGCTGGAGTGTGTCCAACCCACGAACAGAATCATTTCCTCTAGTCCAGTAAAACATGACATCGTTGATGTTGTAACCCCCTGTAGTGGTATACAAGGCAATTATTTTTTATTTTACACAATAATTAATTTGTGCAGAGCAGTTATGGCTCAGCTGTTTCTTATTCATCTGCCTGAAAGTACAACGAGACATAAACAATGCGACTTTCGGCAGAATGTTAATGCTTGTTTGCAATAAAACTGCCAAAGACTGAACATGGACAAATTCTTACCATTTAAAAGCTGTCTTTTTTGGAGACAACCCTTCTTATGTCTTTTATTGTAGTATAGATGACATAAACTAACAAAAGAGATTAGTACCACATGGCATTTAAAAAGCAAAAGCTTTAAAGATTTTAGGAACCAAAACAATGCCAGCATTTGATGAAAAGTTGAGCTGGCCCTTTGAGGCATCCCAGGATGCTTTCCAAATACACTACAGTGTATTTACTCTTCCCATCAGTAGAAATGAAGACCTGAAGATCCACATTCCAGAGCTGCACTCCAACCTGAGCTTGGGTCATCATTTGGGATGGATCTTGGCTTGGGAGCTCAGCCCCTTTCCAAGCACACCAGCCTAGGTGCTGAAGTTGTCAATATGCGTCACAATTATTGCTAAAATACCTCTGTAGCTTTTTCCCCATTATATTAAAAGGCAGGCAATTTTCAGACTAGTGTATATGATTAATTCAAGATTATGTTAATGTAATTTACATGTTAACAGGGAGCATTTGAACATCTTTTCCTCTAGCTTTCTTAGATCAATCATTCTTGTATTTGACAGACTTATATTGTGCAAGTTAATAGCTAAGCTTAGGGGACAGAACTACAAGCAGATGATTATTTTTAGGCTCCAGTCAATTGTAAGTAAATTACACTCAGAGACAATAATGCAGAAGGGTACGTACTGCTAAAAGAACAAAGCTCTAGAATCACAGAAATAAAAAAGAACATTTTTACCCTTTTAATATAATGGCATTGGCTCTTGCAGTGTGAAGAAAGTACTGACTTCTTACAGCCATTTTATGTGGGAAAAACAGGGAGTTCAGAAACTTCACTTCAAGGAAACACTGTGCTGGTTACCAGTTAAACAAATAAGGTGATAACAAGTGTATTGCCAGGTGGAGGTTCTTTTGCTTGTTCGAAAGTATCTTCATCAATTGTATAATTAGGAGGTTTTTGTCATTCTACACATGATAATACCTTCGACATACTAATTCTAAAACTCTATTTGTGAAGAGATTCCTGAGGGAGAGTCTTTCCAAGAGTCAGTAAAATTAAACAACACAGAGCTCCCTTTGTGTAATGTTATACTTTATCCAGGGAATTAATACCTGACTATAACATTTTTAAAAGTTTTAGACAGGAACCTTAAACTATGTTATTTTACAAATAATCTCTTTTTTTAACACTACATTGAGTTTTCTTTCTTACTAATTCCTCAAACCCAAAATGTCTAATTCCCGTGCTTTGTTGATATGGTGTGAACAGCTACCTTCAACAGGGTTAACCACAGAAATAGTAAATTTGGGATTAAATATTCATAACGCCTAATACAAATGAGTTTCTTTACCATTCTGCTGCTAATTTTAATTTCTCTTGATTGTCAAGCACAAGCTGAGTGCCTTCACATGGCTCTTCACTGCATAAATGCTAAAGGATGAGATGGAAAAGGAAATAAAATTTCAGAGATGGGCCCACAAATGAATATGTATATGAACAAGCCTGTGTGGGTGGATAACGGTAGGAAAAAAGCCTCCAGCCCAGAATAAATGACTGCTGGTGTTACCTCCCACAGGGCCCTGAACACAAACACTCCCAAAGCACTAACTGGTGCTCCACAACATTCTGAAGCACTGCGAAAATGGGAAAAAGCTATAGAAATTTCAGGCTGTAAAGTGCCTCACTGTGTAGAAAGTATAACATAATTTGTGCTGTTACCTATCAATAATGAAAGAGTATGTTGTAAAGACCACTGGAGGCATTTTATTGTGTAAAACCACAGTATCATGGCATGTTTGCCTTTACATCAGTTAGAGTTTAACATCTAACACACCTCTTTCAGCTGAAATACTTGCTACATATTTTATATTTTATTTATGAGGGTATGGATGTGTATTTACACTTGCATTCACCATTCTTAACTTCATACAATGTATTTGCAAGTAGCGATGGTGTCATAATTGGCCTATTAACTGATGTAGCTTATCTCATGAGGAAGAAAGCACCATTTCCAGTGTATCTGTAAGAAAACATTACAGTGCATTGAAGAAAAAGGCCATGGCTAAAGATATACTCTTTCTTTCTGCACTCACTGTTTCTAGCTGCTCTCCTCAAAACTAAACACAAATGACATGAGAGCTTTTGTGATGACATTGCTAAGTTTTCCCCTTGGACAGCAGGCGCTTGTGAGCTTTGAAAAAGCAGATGGAATCATTCAGAACAATGTTTATTTTTAATTATATGGGGAATTCTCCATTTTTTTTATTTTTTTATTTTTATAAATCATGTCTCTTTTAAAGCTCTATGTTCAGGTGGGACATATATTTCATTCTAGAACTGAATGTTATATGACTCATTAAGCAACGCATTTACTATAAAGCCATATATTGTGACTTACCAATATGTTCTTCCAAAGGAAAACAAATTGGAGATGAAAACAAAAATTCTTACTGGAATCACTGTTAAACAGATCTTATCCCCACAAAACTGCTGATTCCAAAGGGACTGCTGTGTGAGGAAAGTTTGGGGGCTGATTCCCTTTGATTCATAAGCCATCTTATAATTGGTCATTACCAACACAAATGATGTTTCTGAAATGCTAAAGAATAAAACTCAACAAGTACTTAAAGACTTTCCAAAAGAACATTTTGAATACGTATTAATAAATATTTGACTTTTTTTTTCCATCTCATAGAACACCTCTTAGGTGTCACTCTGCATTTTCCCATGGAAAAAAAAAAACAAAAACGTTTTGATATTGTCTTAACAACTGAATTAACTTTAAACATACACAATGGGTATCTGCAAATTGACCATGATTAGAAAGCATTTCAATGAAAAAAATACGTGGACATTCAGTGATGCAATGAGAACCTAAAAGAGGAGATTTAGTGTTGGTCCTTCCACTTAAGACATTTTTTCCCACAGCACTGTCACAGAGAGAATTAAAGTAAGTCATAGAAGGATCTCTATATTTCCCCTCTCAGAACAGAACTCTGTGCAATTACTCTTTTTCAATATGAAGACAGTAAATTAATGAAATATGAACTCTATGCCTTAAAAGTAAGTCTTATTCTAATTTCTCTCTTTCAGGTAAAAAAAATCGCAATATCTGAAAGTGAGAAAAGAGGCAAAAATGACTAAAAGACATATTTTCTCAGCAGTGCTGACAAATGCCTGCTCAAAGAACCCCCCCTAGAGACAGACAGAATAACTGCAGCAAGTCCTGCAGAACAGACCTAGGGGCATCTCCCATGGTTTAAATTTAACGTAGTATTTCAGTACTCACACGCTATTTTCAGTGAAGCTTCAGAAGTTTGTCTGCGTGTGAAAATACTATTTTAATTCTATTTTAATTATTTCACTTGGCTTTTATGAATACTCCAGCCTCTTCAGTAATACTTAACAGCCAGCAGTCTATGGAAATGATCACTCACAGATATTTCTCTAGTGGCATACAAATACTAAGAACAACTTGTCTTACAGCTTTCCAGTTGCAAGGTACACGTCTGCTTATCCATTGGGTATTTGGTAAGGTCCATGCTGCATGCAACAGTTGTGGTGATCCTTGAAAAACAGAGTAACACTGATTATTATGGGGATAAAACTTCATCAGTAAAAACAAAAAATAAGCCATGTAACTTTATTGAATACTTCAATCTTGAAGACTGTTCTGCAATAAATAACGCAAATCAGTCAGTCACTGGAGCTTCCTTTCCTCTGTGATGATTCAACAACAAAACAACTGCAATGGCATAAGGGGCAATTCCTGTGTTTGGTCTGCTCAAGAGCAAAAGAATCTACCTAGATATGAAAATGAGACTTGGTATTAAATTTAAGAATTTAATTATATCAATCAGCCATATTACATATTTGTAAAACTATAAAACCATGTACATTCTACTTCTACAAATAGAACAGCTTTTAAAGCATAAAACCATGCTAACCTGAAAAGCTTCAAGTGTAACCAGAAGCCAAACACAAAGGCTGGTACATGGTATATACATACCGTATAGCATACAAGACTGTTCCGTTAGGGTATATTCTTATCAGACGATTCTCAACAGTGATATCATGAAGAAAAGACTTTTTTGAATCAACTATGAAAGTATCTGGGACCCAGAGCATTTCCACAAGCCGACCATCTAAACTTAAACTCTTATTGCCATCAAAACAAAGCCTCTCATCAGTCCACCGCTGCCTCAGAAATATGGTTGCCGTGTAATCCTGAAGTACAATATATAAAAATATATTATATGTGTGTATATATATATATATCACTTAGAATAAATCACTATTACTCCATTTTATTAAAGTGCACAGAACCAGCTGCTGAGCACTGAACTCTGTGTCCCAATCCTAAACGCTGGCACTTGGATAGCAGCAGCACGGGCCCTCATATGGCCACATTTTCCAGCACTTGAAGTGATGTTGTTGTCATTAAGAAATATTATCTCGAGTAGATTTTGTTCTTAAGGTCATTGAAATTTCACAGTAAATGTTGATGGCCTCAGCCTGGGGCCATAAATCAGCTGAAGTCATCAGAGTTTTGACAGCAGATAATCTGTCTCTGTAAATCTTTAAATCTTACAATGATTTATATAAGTAAGTGGTTACAAACAGCATTTTGTTCACATAAACCATTAAATAATGCAATTTTAAGAAAACTGTGGGAAAAAGATGTATAAATTCACATTCATAATGGCAAAAGAATGAAGTGTAATAGGAATTTATGGAAATATATTAAAGATATCATCACCTCTTAGCTGCATATACCCTTTTCACAAGAGCAGGGAAACAGCAGCACCAAATCTATAGAGACCTTGGAGTCAGGACAACTCACCTGCAATCTGAGTATGCCTTGTAGTCTGACATTAAAACCACATTATTTCTTAACATGTTTTTTAATCAACTTTTGATGTTATGGTGTATTTTAATCACCATGATAAGTCAATCTTTAGTTCAGACCTTACTTCTCCTTTTCTAAATACCTGTGAATACTTGCCAAGTACAAGAGGAATTCTCAGATTCCATTTATCTAGAAGTCTGAGTAATTTAATGGTAAGATGTATTACCATCCACATAACCCTATTTTCCTATATTGAATATCTGAATAATGAATTTTGTCTTCTGTTTCTGTGTAGCAAGAGCAGATCTTTAATTAGAAACGTACACTCCATTTCATAGTTTGTTCAAAAAGAACTAATATAAATCTAACGAAACAGCTGGAATAAATTAACACGTGACAGTAAAAGAAAAAATAATGTGATTGTTTCTAAACAAAAGGAAAGGGAGTGGCTTCAGAGTCATGTGCAAATATATCTAATTCTCTGAAATGTGTAGGGATTTAGACTTTCATTCGGAAAAAAAATACTGCTCTATATGCCTTTAATTAAGATTAATACTCAGTAGCAAATTTCTGTTTATATCTACAAGTGATGTGATTTCCATCTGTACAGGTTTTAGGCTAGAAATCTTGTCCTTTACAACTCAGTACTGAGTACAGTGCTATAATCTCTCATCTACAGTGAAGAATTAAATTATTTCTCCCACCAATCAAGAGGGAAAACCTCAGTCACACTGCCAGCAAACGTAAACACAAGACATTAGCTTACCAACAGACAAAACAAAAAGATTACAAAAGCTACAATACCATGTTTATTTCTGATATGGTATCAATGCTTGCAATATCCAGACTCATTCCAACAGACACAGGACCATCTGCAAGAAAAAGAAAGTATTACTCAAATTTAGACTAGAAAAGAATTTCATTGATCACACTGCCAAAATACAGTATTACTAGGCTAACATTACCATGGTTTTAACAAATGTGTTTTATTTCCTAGGGTGGATTTGTATGATTTTTTTTTCTCCTCAGAAAGAAAAGTAGAGGGGAAAATGCTGCAGAGCAAGGTGTGGAAGGCACAATCCCCACAATACATCACACCCTGCTGCTCTGAGGTGCAGAGCAGTGGAAAGAATTCCTCCAGTTGCAACATCTGGTCCACCAGATGTTGGCAAACAAAGGAGATGCTCCTGGCAATGTCACATGCTTAATACACAGATGGGATATCTGAGTGACTTTATTTACTGCCTGCTTAAGAATACATTGTCTATACTGTCTTCCTGAATTTTAACATCTTGCTTTTGATCACTAGCAGTTAGCTTGTGACACATATTTGCATTTATAAGGAAAGCAAGGCAGCTGAATTGATTCAGTGTGATTAAACACCTTATCTAGGTAGCAGCCGTAATGTTATTGTGATGTTAGTACACTCAGGCTCTCATTTCCTTATGAAGGTACTTCAGAGTGCCAGAAGATGCACCAGTTGTGCATTTTAAAATGCAGTTGTGCAGAGCTTTCGTGGAAACATGACATCAGACCTGGCTGGGTATGGGCAGAACTAATAGAGTAGATACAAAAAGAAATCCCTAATAAATACGTGCATCTTTCCAAATAATTTGAAAAGAAGAGAAAGCAACACTTAGAAATGAAGAAATAGCTTAGATACAAACTATGGAGCTGATAGTGCCCATACATCACAGGCATGCTGCTGAAAACCCCTGCGGGCCACATGTAATGCATTATGTAAGTAACTCTTGCATGACCCCAGATAACACAGAGATCAGGAAGATGAGACAGACACACTATCCCATCAAGCAACACATCTGTGTGTTTTGTTCCTTTCAGAATATTATTTCCACTTGTAAAGCAAGTGTTGAAGTATAAATCTCTGGGACAGCTTCCGAATCATAGAAATCTGGAACTCCTGGAAGAATCCATAAATGCTTCACTCTGGACTCAGCTGAAAGTTAAAATATAAAGATCAAGCTTAATAAACGATTGCAGGCTTGCAGCAGCCCCTGATGATAATTCTCTACTTATTATATAGCACAAACTGTAGTTAGAGATGAGAAGAAATTATTCACCAACTGAAATATTATGGAGGTTAACTTCAGAACAAAATTAGTTGACTGAGAAGTTCCCAGACCACTGACAGATTGCTCTTCTGTTTCCTTCCATTCTCTTCTGTTTCTGACACTTTAAGAATACCTTCACGCTCTGTTCCTCCTGTGTCAATTTGAGCAATTGAGTCAGTTGATATTTATGCTTACCATTGTACTCTACTATCAGAGGTAAAATATTGTTAATACAGCATTTAAAACAGCACAATTATTACAGGTACACTGTATCAGACCTTCAGAAGTCGTGAGATTTAAAAAATAAGTGTGATTTATAAACTTTTTCCTGCCTTTTTTGTTTGCTTGTTATCTTACAGATGCATCAGAGCATAATATTGCCAATTACCACAAACAGTTGGGACAGGGAGCTCATCATGCAAGGCCTATGCTAACTGATGGTCCTCTCTAAGAACAATATAGCATAAAGCTATCTGTGACATGTGGCTAGAAATAATAAGGCTGTCCTATTATCACATCTTATATTAATGGTAAGAACACTAATTTATCTTGCCTTGTTTAAGGCAATGCAGATTAGTGAAAATGTTCATTAGCAACACTTCAGTATCATCAGTGCTACTGTGATACGTCTGAGAAGAAAGCTGACTTCTGAGAAAGATTACTGAAAATAATTTTTTTTTTTTTTTTCCAGTTTCACTGAAACAGGAATTCATCTCTCCCTCCTTTCTTTCTCACTGCAGAAGCGTTGGGTGACTCCCATAAGCAGATCTGTAGCTTAGGACAGAATGCACTTAAGCTCAGACTGATTGTTCTAGCAGCAAATTGCCTTGCAGTTCAATTGCTAACATGCAGTAAGGACAAAACTGATCTGCTCTCCTAACCCTGCCAGTCTCCACGGTCCAAATGCTTCAGCTGTGCATTCGGCCTGCCTACAGCCAAGCTTTCATGAAGACTCATCAGAAAATGACATCCCCTAAGATATTTTAAGGAGATATTTGCCACAAGTCAAAGTAAAAATAATTATAATAATACAACTGCATAGACAACAGTAGCATAGCTTTCAATATAATTTATTTGATGGAAGACAACAACATAGGTTTCAGAAGAGCCTTAAGCAATTCTCTCAGGAGATTCTATTTTTCTGGGTCAGTAGGGAATGAGGGACATACTGGTAGGCCATGAACACTGTAATCCTCTTCCCTAGTTTTTAAAGTCTCTTCAACAGACTGTAGGGTGGGAGGAAGAAAAACGGCAGAGGGATTGCTGTTGGCTAGATGTGGTTGTGGGATCCCCCATTTGTATTTCTGATCCTGGGAATTATCAAAAAAATCTCTTAAGAGGTGATACCATAAGGTAAAGGAGAAAGATTTCACTCTACGAAGGTGAGCTACGGCTTTGTCATGTCACAGTTAAGGCATATAAAGCAATAATTTGTGGAAACAAGGCCAATGAGCTTCACACTCCTTCATAGACTGAGATGCTAAAGCATGTGTGCTTCCCTATGTAGCACATCAGCAGTGAAGCAACTAACAGAGACTGAGTGAAAGCTCAAGCACTAATTCCAATTTCAGTAGAGTCTGAACCAAATGACCAATAGAGAAAAACAACTAAGTCATCATGATTGAGCATAACCCAGAAAAGGTTTCATAAAGCAAAGGAAAACCTCTTCAAACATCTTCCAGGTTAGGAGGATAGTAAAATGCTAGCAACATGTGAAGGATGAATTGTGCTTGAAGGAAACTATGGAAGGGACCTCTATTAACATTAGATGCTGAGAACAGTTGTGCTTTAAAAGTTAATTAAATCAGAATAATATTTATAGTTAAAAAGATATTGATTTGGTCTATTTTGGGAGGGGGGTGGGGGGGGCTGGTTTGTTTTTATTGGGTTTATTATTTATTATGGTTGGTTGGCTTTTTTTGTGAGGATAATTTATGGCACCTTACTAAATAAGTAAAGCAATAATAACAGTTAGAATGAATCTTCTCATAATTATCTATCAGGGTTTCCTCTGAACTTCCACTGAAAGCTCTCCTGTTGACAACTTCAAAAACAGGGCAGTAGACCAGATGAGGTAGACAGTTCCTACATTTCCATACGTTTGGCAGAACTGTATGTATAACAACAACTTCAGAAGAAAACTACAGATCAGAGGAAATCTGATGTCATATTTTGTCATTAGTAAAATGAGTCTTAAAAGTTAAGAGTAATCTGGCAAACACACAAAAGGGCAAGTCTTGTTATAGAACCAAATTTCAAAATCTAAACTTCAGTAGAAGTTAAAAACGTATGTTATGTACTGAGACTATTACTTAATGCACTTTACAGATATTAACAGTAATTCCACATGGGAAAGCTGACAGAAGAGTGGCAGATGCACAATGAAGAGTTAACAGCTTACTTTAAATTTACTTTTGGACCACTGCAGTGATCACGATCTGTTAAAGTTTGTATCAACAAAGCAAACCACCACCAAGTCATTTATGTCTTGCAACTCCAAGGACCTACTGCTGAAATCAGTCAACGACATAAAGAATAGCTAGTGCTGAGCCACTAGTGCATAAACTCAGTTCAAGAAAACTTAAAACAATGTTGGTATTCAGAAATTTCTTAACAAGAATGGCTATTTGAAAGAATACCTCAAACTTGCAGTAATACTGAATTAAAAATATTATGGGACTTCTAGATAAAGAAATACATTACACTTGGATTTTGTCAGTGTCTTTAACTTCCTACCACAAGACATCTTTCTTGACAAATGCATGTTATATGAAATGACTGGACAGATGAAGACAGGCCTTCTGACAGATTTCAACTATAATTGTTAATATGAAGACATCAGAAGACAGACTCATTTCTAGCAGGAATAAGGTTCAGTTCTATTTGTTTGCATCAATGATCTTTAGAAAGCAGTGCATCTTTGCAAGTACAGTTTATGGACGCCATAAAAATTGATGGGGATAGTAACATTAGCAGCTTAAGTTGTTAAAAAAAAGTATTAAAATACAGCCAAATGTAAGCAATTAATATGAGCACAAATAATGGAGGCAGTATGTACAGGACAGGAAACTCTCTTGGCAAGCAGCGCCTTTGAGAAGGATTTAGCGGTCGTCACGGATAATCATTTCAACATGAGCATTCAGTATTATACTTTGGCAAGAGTACCATTCCAACAGGGAGCAATACAAAGACTTAAGTTACCTTACAATCTAGACTGTACTGGCAAGGCTGTTATTAGATCACTGGGATGAGATTTGTTTCCCACATTTCAAAAAATGTGTAAACAGCATAAAGAGTTCAATAGAGAGAAACAGAAATATTCCAGGAGATGAAAAACTCTGGAACTGTAATATGAGAGTTTATAATATGAATATTAAGGAATAGCATTTACTGAGCTCCTCCAAGAGGAGACAGTGGCAGTAAGCACCCAGTGATACAGTACTACGTTTGCTAATAAAGTTCCCAGATTGTGTATGATGAAAACAACCTGAAACTTCATATTAGCTGATTTTTTCTAATTGAACTTCAGCACTGCTCATCATTCAGATTCTCTAGAATTCAGCATTTTAGTGGGGAATGGGGATGAAATCTGTCCTGCAGCAAGCTGGTCTTGACAAGGGTGGTCTCACAGTCTTATTTCTATAGGAAAGAAAGGAAAATCTGCATTACTGTCCATATGCTGAAGTTTGTATTTTTGCATCAGGTCATGCATTTATCAAACCACAAGTCTTAAGGATTCAGCAGCAGTTGTTTGTTGGTTTTTTTTTCCCCATTATACAAGTGGCCACATGTATACTCTGGGCTTTTTGCCTTTCTCTGAAGGATTAGACATGGCTACATCTGTAAACAGACTCCAAAGGAGAAAAGCTAATTGGTACATAAAATAATATTTACTTGACAATTATTTGGTATTAATTTCTTGTGTGCCCTGTGAGCTTGTCTCACCAAATCAGAACTTCTCAGATATGCTTAACTTCCCAGCATCTCCTGATATCTTCAGGGGTAAACAGCAAACTTCTGAAGACCAAACTGCCCTCATCTAATTAAACTAGAACTTAATATAAACAATATTTGGGAAAGATATGGTGCCCAGGCTTACATGTAAGATTGGACCAGAAGACTTAATTGGCTTTCTTGAATTTAAACCTTGAGATCCTGAAAAGTATTGCTAATTAAAAAGCAATGGAAAATGATCTTATAAATGCGGTTTAGAGTAACTGATTTAAGGATGGCACTTCTCTGCACCACTTGAAAGTAGCTTCCATATTCAAACACACTTAGCTGTGACCTTTTCCTAGCCTCTCTCTTTTTAATTAGAATACTTAAATTATCACATTCAATCACAGAACAAAATCTATTTGTATAAAGTTATTTACAAGATTTTATGCATCCCTTAACAACTCCATGAACCTGATCCAAGCCTCACTGAAGTCAGCAGGAATTTCTCATTAATTCAGAGAGGTTTGGCACAGCACCTAAGTTAAAAGATCATTCTACACAGTTTCAGCAGAAATTTTAAAATCTGCTTGTCTGGGTGCGATAAAGCGTTGGGGTCATGTAGCACATTTAAGGAAAATAACTGCGCATTTTGAAATCCCTTATGTTAGCTTTTCTAAGGAAGACTTCCATATCTATCTAGAAGACTGTGATGGATATTACACTGAGAGGCACTATCTACTAATACTGGTATAAAAATATTCCATATTCCAGCCCAAAGAACAGCTAAAATCATTCTTCATTAGGTAGCGTTTCTAACCTATTAATAGAACTTCCCAAGCCTATTTGCTCAGATTATCTAGGACTTGCTTGATGAAACAGCTCAAATTGGAGCATTAAAATGCTATAGTTAAGAAAATGAAACAGTAATATTCAAATGACAGAAAAGACAGATAACAAGCCCAGTTAGGATTCCTGTGTATCAAGCACTATGTGAGAGTACCACTGTAATTTGGCAACTGGAATGTGCCACCCAGAACAGACAAATGTAACTATTCAGTTAATTTTACATGTCTACACATCCTTGAGGTACTAAGCCTGGCTTAATCTAATGTTAGGTACCCTAATAAGATGCCTAGAGATAGGAACAGCAGTGTCTGCTTGGCATAATTGGCAGTGCTTTGGTAGCAAGGTTCTACACGGGTGACCTGCATGGGAGGAGACAGCAAGATTAATCCAGAAATCTAGAAAACCTACTCATTCTAATCCATGCAAGAGGAGACAATTTAATGTCATCATAGTCACCAAATTCTAAGTAAAAACATCATCATCTTCTCATTAACTTGGGTTAATTTTCAGGAATATGCCAATCCCAGCACAAGGACTAAATATAAACTAAGAGCTACAAGCTGCAGTAATACTTCCATGACAAGTAAAGATTCCTTTTCCCTAAAGCCAGAAGAAAAAAATTAGAAATCTTCATTTCATTATCATTTGCTTATGCCTAATGGACATTTTATTAACTGAAAACTCATTTTACTAGATATTGAGGAGTTCAGTGGCACCAATTTTGTAAAAATATGACTATAATTTGGCAGCATCACATCAGAAATGTCCCATTCCCTGCCTGAAGAAAAATCTCAAGGACAAATGTCTTCGAAATTACCATGAAGTACATTACATTAAAAATGAAGCCAACCTCTCACTCTCTCACCCTTGATAAAAATCACATTTCAGTGTCCCATTTGGCAGCTCATGGTTGAGAGGCAGCTGAACATGAGCTAGAATTGTTCCCAGGTGGCCAGGAAAGCCAATGGCACCCTGGCTATCAGAAAGTGTGACCAGTAGGATCAGGGAAGTGATTGTCTTGTACTTGTGTGAGGCCACACCTTGAGTGCTGCATTCAGTTTTGGGCCCCTCTCCACAAGACATTAAGGCACTGGAGCACAATCAAAAGAGCAGCAAAGCTGTGAAGAGTCTGGAGCACAAGTCTTATGAGGAGCAGCTGACTGGGACTATTTAGTATGAAAAAAAAGGAGGCTCAGGGAGACCTTACTGCTCTCTACAACTCCCCTCAGAGGAGCATATTGAGATGGGGTTGGCCTCTTCTCCTGGGCAAGAGCGATAAGAAAATAGGTGATGGCCTCAAGTTGTACCAGGGGAGGGTCAAAGTTGGATATTAAGAAAAGCTTCTCCAAATGAATGGTCAAGCATTGGAACAGACTGCCCAGGGAGGCAGAATCATCATTCCTAGAGGTCTTCAAGAAAAGGGTGACTGTGGTACTTAAGGACATGGTTTAGTGTGCATTGTGGTAATGGGTCAATGGCTGGACTACAAAATCTTCAGGGTTTTTTCCAACATTATGGATTACACAATTCTATGATTATAACCAGCTAGCATTAAGCTGAAAATGCTGTAGATGTAAACAAATACCACTATCTAGTTTTACGACTGGTCTCTTCACACATATTTATGAGTGTGTATTTATCACACAAGTGAATAGACCATATTTCTGCACATCTCTGAAAGGAAAGGAATCTTGGGCACAAAAAGAGAGACAAGCATCTTGAGAAGACTAGCTTCAAGCTGTCAGCTGCATATTTCTTCCCATTCCACAGGAATACTTTCATGCACTTTAGACAACAAATGCAAACTTCAGGGTTAATGTTCATATACACTCTGTTCATTTTCCTAGAAACATGACTTCCCTCCCCATAGTAAATCAGTACTGATGCAATTGGACAGGCTGTTTCAAAAGTCACTGCCAAGCAATCTTGAAAAAAGCTGCACAATATTGGGATCAACCTGGGTCATCCTAACCTAAATTATTTTTATGAAATCATCATTTTTTGTGAAACCACAAACTCCACATTTACATCTGGCAACATTTTTCAGAGTGTCAACCCATTCTTTCAGTAGTAGAGCAATTGTACATCCATCAGAGATTTTTGGACACAAGTGTTTGCATGCCTGAGCTGTGGCCAGCAGCAGTTCTGACAACTTCTGGGAGTGCTTGACTGGCTCTGCACGTGACAAGCTTGGGCTGTGTTTGAGCTCCTGTGGGAGTTCCAAGGGAACTAAGAAAGTCCCTACCACCCCTCTGAAAAAAAAAAAAAAACCCAGGCAGAGAAAGAGCTACAAATTTACTGCCTTACAACAGCTGAGAAAGAATTCTGTTGGTGTTAAAAAAAATATTCATATCTTGGAAGTGCTATAGTGTTGGTTAACTAGGATAACAGGGTTTTGTATTGCAATTCTGTTTGCATTCTGTTAAAGCACATCCAAAACAGCAGTGCCAATGCATCTATATTACAACTCTGAAGTAATGAATGTAATAACCAAGTTCAGTGGTCACTAATATATTTCTCACTGTGCAACATCTCAAATGAGAAGGTATTCATTTAGTTGTCATTATTACTTTTATCTTGTTAATAATATCATGATTGTGAGATATCTAAAAGCAGCTGTATCAGCAGTTGAGGCAATTAAGATAAAAAATGAAATAATTGTCTCTCTCCCAAATCCAAAATATGGGTTTCCTCTTAATATTTTATGGATTTGATTCAAAAATTGCCCTTGGCAATTGCCCCTACTGCATAGGCTGATAGTCTAACCAGGTGTTTGGATGGCAAGAGGTAACAGCATGGTCTGAGAATCACTTTTAAATGGGATATTTGGGATAAAGACAAATAAAAAGCCTTCACTTGAAACCCTTAAAATTTCTGAATTTCTAATTTAACAGCAACTGCCTAGCATTCATTGTGTAGATTTATTTTCTGACATGTGAAGCTGAGCATCTTTCCAGTGTGCAAACTACCTTCTGTTTCTGCAGTTAGTCCAGGCAGAAATCTATGACCACAAAGCCTGCAACTCTTCATCAGTATTTCCAATGCATTCACTAGCCAGAATTGGCAAGGAAGATGTTCACTAAGACTTCAGGTGTGCAAAGATGATTGTACTAGATATCAGTAACATCAGACTTTGTGCTGGAGACAACACAGGTCTTTCAACCTGGTGACTGTGGCCTTCCAATACAAGGAACTCACATTTTCAATTAATTTACCCCTGCAGTTCTGGAATGAAACCATTCAGTGATCTTTAAGACCCAAGGCAATTCTCTTGTGCACATAATAGATGTACATGGTACATGGTGTGGAATAAGATTTGCCTGTGCTTTTATGAGAAATGATACATAGCACTTTCTTATCTTTAAAATTTTCTATTGTTAATATTTAGGAAATTATGATAAACTACGTTTTCAAATAAGTGAGGTTCTATAGGTGCCTCACTGAGAAAACACAAACATCAACATCCAAGTTCCCTGCAGACTTGGTAGTTTTGTCTGTGAATGCTTGGAATACATACACTGTGGGCCACAAAAACTATTACACTATATTCTACTCTAGATAAGGGCATTAAATATAATCTGATGAGTCGCTATCAAGCAGCAGCACAGAAGAAAACATTTGCTCTCATGACTGATTTTCAGGCATGAGTTTCATGACAGTCAGAGCTTTTCTACTTACTGTCAAAAAATGGACGTAGATATTTGTTGTATCCTTTTATTATATTTTGTATGGTTGGGGGAAGAATTTCACCTTTTCCTTCAGCTTCAGAAATCTGCACTGACCTAAAAGAAAAAAGTGAGGATGTTTTTAAAAATTATCATTGGTTATTAAAAAAAGATTATGTTCCAGACCAATACTGTATTAGGGTCAAGGTTACTGATGATTATTGCAGATCATAACACTCAAAATATTTGCATGTCTGCATTTTACAGCACTGCAGAAAAAACCATTCTAGAAAATACCAGATTTGACAAACTGTGTTAATCCCTTATTTGCAAAAGACACTGCTTCTGTATCTTAAAACCTAGCACTTCTTTGTATCTCACCTGAGAAAGTGACTCAGTCTTCCTTAATGCTTCCTCTGTAAATAGGGCACTAATCTAGGAATGTGGGTGGGGTGTTGATTGTCTATTGCAGTACTTAAAATTAAGCTTCTTTTTACATAATGAAATACATTCAATTTAGCTCCTGGAGGGAGACAGAAACCAGCCTCAGAGATTAGTGCATAAAAACACTTCTAAAAGCCTGCTTTTACAGCAACATTTTTAAATAGGTTACAGAAATAACCCTGTTGGGCAAAATCAGTGAGGAATAAGAATATACACCACTCCTGCGTTCAAAAGCAGCTACAAATACAACATTCATCAGCTAAATACAGACAAGTAAATACAAAACTCACCTCTGCATTAAGGCCTCTACTGCAGCTTCACATAGAGGCTGAGAACAAGCAAAGACAGTGGGAAGCCACACACCTGGGAAGCCTATCTGGCTGTGGTTGGCACTCTGACAGAGAGCAGCCATCTGTAAATTCATCAGAAGAATGTTCTACAAGGGATGGAGGCTCTGCCTCTTAACTCTTCTTAGCAATATAGAAGCACTAGCAACCCAGCCCTGTGAAGAAAAGAGCTAGACTTTATGGAAAAGAGTGTAAGTGCAAAGCCATGGCTGGGTAAGCACCCACCTTTGTGAGCTTTCTTGCTTCTGCCTGGGTATTGCTCAGTTTCCTCTTCCTAACCCCCTCAGAGCTACTCTTAGAATCTCTACTTGCTCTGTTTAGCTATATTTCTGAACTGCCCATAGCCTTTCATAATGCACTTCTTTGACTGCAATATTACTATGTTTTCCAGCAACATTCGAGAATAGTTTGAGGAATTCTATCAGAAAAGAGTGGATTTTATCCAACTGCAACATAACACAACAGAAAGCGCCACAAAGACAATAGAGCAGCAAAGTCCCAGGCTGCAACAAGCTCAAATGCAACAGCTCCAGATACAGAAATAAAGAAGCTACTTACCTTCAGAAGGCCCAAGGTACACAGGGATCTCTAGCAAAACATCCTTGTTTACACTGCCAACCCTTAAATACAGTTTGGGAGGGGGTGGATCCTGGCTCACTCAGATACACTGCATGCACCTGAGCTCCCATTTGTTGGCCCTGCATCCCACCAGGTGCTCAATCACTGCTTCAAGCCATCACTTAGTTTTTCCACTACAAGCAGTAATCCAGTCTTTCACATTAACTTGCAATTATAAAGTTACAGAATCACAGAATGTTTGGGTTGGAAGGGACCTCAAAGACCACCCAATTCCAACTTCCAAGCTACGTGCAGGGGTGCCAACCACTACATCAGGCACTAGATCAGGGCTCAGAGCCCCATCCAATCTGGCCTTGAACATCCCCAAGGATGGGGCACCCACAATCTTTCTGAGCAGCCTGCACCAGTACTTCACTATCTTCTTTGTGAAAAGAATTCCCCATGACATCTAAATCTCCCTTTCTTTAGTTCAAAATCATTTCCCCTTGTCCAATTGCTATCTACCCATGTAAAAAGTTTATTTCCTTCCTGTTTATAATCTCCCTTTAAATACTGGAAGGCCATAATGAGGTCTCCCTGGATCCTTCTCTTTTTCAGGCTGAACAAGCTCAGCTCCCTCAGCCTGTCTCCATAGGAGAGGTGCTCCAGCCCTCTGATAATCTTCATGGCCTTCCTCTGGACCTGTTTCAACAGCTCCATATTCTTCTCATGTTGAAGGTCACAGGCCTGTTTGCAGTATTCCAGATGGCACCTCAGGAGGGCAGATCAGAGGGGGACAACCTCCTCCCTCCCCCTGCTGCCACCCCTCTGTTGTTGCAGCCCAGGATACCACTGGCCTTCCAGGATGCAAGTGCACACTGCTGGCTCACATCCAGCTTTTCGTTCACCAGGACCCCCAAGTCATTCTCGGCAGAGTTGCTCTCAAGTTCTTCTCCTCCCTGTCTGCACACACATCTTGGATCGCCTCAACTGAAACACCACACATTGCACTTTGCATTGTTGAACATCGTTAGGTTTACATGAGTCCACTCTTCAAGTATGTCAAGGTCCCTTTGGATGGTATCCCTTCTTCCTTATGCCATATCAACTGCACCGCTCAGCTCAGTGTCATCAGCAAACTTACTAAGGGTGCACTCAAATCCCATAATCTATGTAACTGATAAAGATGTGAAAGCATGCTACGCCCAAGACAGACACTTGGGGTCCACTATTCCCCAGCCTCCACCAACACAGAGCCATTTACCACAACCCTCTGGCTACAATCACCTAACCAATTTATTATCCACCAAATACTCCAGCCTTTGAACCCATATATCTCTGATTTAGAGTTAAGGATGTGGTATAGGACCATGTAAAAGGCCTATGACACCACACTAGAATAGTTTTCTAAATACTAAGTTGATATCATTGAATGCATGTGACCAAAATCATGGTTTGAGACACAGTGTCTACTGTTGACCTTTTGGTGCTGTTATTACTATTTAATTTTTTTCTGTTTACCAGACCCAACTGCCACATACGAAACTAGTTTTAATCAGCAGCCTTTTGACTTAGGGAGCTCATCAATTTTTTACTTCTCTTCTTTTGGACCAGGCTTTTATTTCTTTATTGATAAAAGAGAAGTTTACTCAACATTTACTGAAGGGTAGACTTAAGTAATAAGGACTGCTTCTTCTTAAGCTCTTTTTTGTCTTAAAGAAAGTCAAATTGAGTTCAAGTGTGCATATAAATAATGTCAGTTTTACATTGTACAGAATTATGGGAATTAGAAATGCATTTGAATTTAATACATTTCTTAAATACTCTACTTGTAACAGACTTTCCTGCTTTTGCAATTTACATTTAATTTCAGTGAAGTGCTCAATGAGCTGCATGAGTTTAATTTCACAATTTTACTGCATTGCTCCTGCATAATTTTCACATATTGTGAAACCATAAAGAAAAACTTGCCCCTTTTTCACTGCAGGGGTATAATATTGTTCTGCAGATCAGCATGTGGTCATGGAGTGGTCTGGTGTGTTGCCCTCATAAACACCTATCTGCAGAAATAGATCTTGAATATTTGGCATTATTTAGGCTGGCAAGTACTTTCCTCAGACCACTTGTTTTATCTCCCAAGACAATTCTAGATTTCCTTTATCAAGATACAACATACAACATACGCATGCCTCATGTTTTTCTCTTCTGCTGATTTTATGATTAAGAATGAACTTTTAGCCAAAGAAAGGCTGTTGTGAAGTAACTGATGCGCTGAATTAACACAGCTTTATTTACTGCACAATATTTTGCCATACACTCGTTTAGAAACCCTATGCAAGAGAAAGCTGCTGTCTCCCCGACTTGAGCACAGTGCATCGGGTAACTACCGGCATATTCAGAAGCAAACTGTCAGTGTTGAAAGGCAAAGAACCCATAGATGTTATATGTGTTAAGTGCTTTAGCTTATCTACATTTTAGCACAGGATGCCCTGATTCCTCTAAAGTGCTCTTCAGTGCCCATGCCCTTAGTCATCACTAAGCAAGCGAGTTTACACCTGTCTGTAAGAAAAAAATATCTATTACATGGCCTTGTGCAGGGGTTGCAAAGGATAACAGTAAAATCTGAGGCTGTTTCTTCTTATACCTGTACATCTTCTCATCAGTGCATCTGAGCTTCCCTTTTATCCAGTATTCTTTTCTTTTTAAATCTTATTATGTGAGTGTTCATTTTTTCTCTTTTCTTAATGTAGTTAAAATACACTAGCACACGTTTAATTGCCTTGAAATGCCTATTCCAGCCACAGAGGAGAGAATATGCTTTTATAGAAAAAAACTTAAACATATATAATTTGACAAACATTCCAAGCTTTCTGTTCTGGGTTATCAAGGTATAACAAATATATTAAACACTTTGAGCTCAGTGGCCCATGATGGCATCTATGAAAGTTGAACTACAATGATTTAATTTCCTTTGCTATTCTTATGGCTCACAAAATGTAATATTTTACAAATTGGGCTACGTCTGGAAGGTATAATTGCTTTTTATTTAACACACGGTCAACCTAGTGACTTAGTAGAACTGGGTAACCAAAGGGGAGGGAGAGGAGAAGGAGCATCTGCCCTAAACAGCAGAACATATCACTGCTTAAAACAAAAGTACATCTAGACACTTGTGCAGGAATGTTCTTCCTGGCTATTTCTCATCAAGATTTATGTATCATGAAAGAGGCAGAAACACCTCAGAACTGAGAGAAGGGAAAAGCAAAATGCCAAATACAGTCTGAGCGAGCCTTTGAAATGCACCCCTCAGGAAAAGCTGGGCCAAAAACTTCTTTGAGGCAATCCACTGACAGGCGAAGGGTTTGCAAATCCTTTGACGCAAACAAAGGTGTTGCTTTTTGTTTCACACTTGACACGTTCAGGGATATTGGCTTTTGCATTGTCTTCACAGATAAACAGCAGTAGGATCACCAACATCACTGCTAATTTCTCCACTTCAAAGCATTCTGTGCATTCCATGGCTCTTGGTTAATTGGCAGTGTTGAAACAGTGGCATTGTATTACCACTTCCCAGGTATAGGAACAAATACTTAAATAATGCAAGTGGTCTTTAAGTTAGACAGAACATCAACACCCCAGAAAGTCTTCAGAATCCAACCCTATAATCTTGGGCTGGCATACTTAATTTGAAACACATTTCTTGAAATGAATGGGAGCTGCTCTTGAGATCAAATCCTGTCTTTAAGCTGTTTCTTGACAGTGATTAAAACTGTGAGCTCTATTGATTACTTTGATAAATTTGCCATACATTTATTCATCTCTTATTTATTAATAAAAATATTTCTGGAAAAATGACAACCCACACAATCTACTGGCTACAGATTTTCTGTATGCATGTCTACAACATAACTTCATATTGAAAGTGAAAATAAGAAGCATTATTCAGTGAGTTGTTACTCAGACACTTCTGAAATGTTTGTAGTTAGAAGGGACCTCAAAACTCACCCAGTTCCAACCCCTGCCATAGGCTGTTTGCTACCCACCAGATCAGGGCCAAGCACCCCATCCAACCCAGCCTTGAGAACCTCCAGGAATGGGGCACAACTTCTCTTGACAATTTGTTCCAGTACCTCACTGCACTCTGAGTAAAGAATTTCTTCCTAAAATCTAACCCAAATTTCCCCTCTTTTAATTTAAAGCCATTCCCCCTTGTCCTATCACTGTTAGGCTGCATGGATGTTGATCTCTTTGCAACTTTACTAGTGCAAAGCCATGATTATCACTTACAGTGTGTAGCAAGTCACAGCTGACAAGGTGAAAGTGAATGTATTCTGGGCAACAATGTCTGCATAGCCCTGCAGAAGGCAAAGGAGGGAGAGGTCTTACACTCCCCCTTAAGAGAGTGCTACTTGCCCTCACTAAGTGAGGCTTTATCTAAAAATGTGTTTGCACATCAACTTGAAAGTAAAGCTCAGGCAGAACCTTATCATGAGGTATTTACTGGGAGGATAAACAGGCAAGGCATTTCTACAGAGAGAATTGGCTAAGCAGGTTTTAAATATATTTCAGATAGTTAAGAATGGTGGTTGCAATGTTGTTTAACCTGTCCATGCTTGCATTTTCTTATTAAAGTTGCTTATAAAATATGTTCCTTCCAAAAGAAGACATTTTTTTCATTGTTAAAGTGCTCCATTTCTGTCTTATGGGGCTTTTTTTTTTTTTTTTGCCATGGCAACTGCACTGTTAGCAGGATTATTTGTACGTGAAAGGAATCAGTTGCACCTTCCAGCCTAACACAATTCAGCTTTCCTTAAGAATTCACAATTTCATCTACAAGTACACACTTCAACCAGGCAATTTTTCAGACACTTTTCTTTAGCAATGAGTGCACAAAGATGACTTTGCTACCTCAAGCTTATAGCACATGGAGGTGTGCTCTATGCCTCTGCCCTTGGGCAAGGTACAGTGCTTCAGGAGAGGACCATGCACCACTCTGAATTTGCCAGTGTCTAGTATGATATTCACACTGTCTACATAGTAGTCCTTCATTTGAAGGATCATTTGCTTAAGTTCATTTGTTTTCCCCCCA